CAGAAATATTTATTATACTTCACCGTCACCATTCACGTCCGAGTTTTCACATTAACAATGAGACGAACACGCCAACCCCAAATATATTGGAGCAGCTGCATAATCGCATGAATCGAATGTATAATGTAGTAAGAACAATACAGGACCTCGGTACAGTGAATCCTCGCTAACTGCATGCTCGATTTGTGCATATTCTCGATATCTGCATGCGTTCGTCAGCTACCAGCTGCGGAGTCGCGAATCCAGCTTGCATATGACACTGGACTGCATACCGCATAACTGCATCAAGAAAGTGATCCTTAATCATATCGAACCCTCATACAGAGGCAACCTATGAAACAAATAAAAACGTATGACAACAAATATGCAGTGATTCGCCATCGCCGTCGGCACTGCAAATTCAACACCGGCGGCGGACTGCAAAGTCAACACCAGCGGCGGCACGCAGAATTTAGGCCGTAGGACAGAGGCATTAGGCTACAGTCCAACTTCACTTTACTGTGAAACATCGCAACACCATGGTTTATAGGCACACGCTCTCCCGGTTGCCTCACAACCGTCCTCAACCACCAAACCAAAACAACATGGACTCCCATACACGACTCACCTCACTCACAGTCGTCCAGAAACAGAAAGTAATGGACGAGCGGGTGCGTCGAATTTCTGCAGGTGAATCATTTCACCAAGAAGCGCTCGCACAGTGGGCCTACGACAAATTCCACCTCCTCCGTAAGCCGAACCAATCTACCATCTCTCGCATCATCAAAAATGCAACTCGCCCGTCCCTCTTTCCTTCAGCAATCCGCAAGCGATACACTTATGGCAATTGTAGAGAGTTGGAGGCAGCATTGCATTCCTGGATCAATGCTCAATTTCGCGCACGGCGCTGTGTGAATGGAAGTTTAATTATTGCGAAGGCAAGGACGTTACAGCATCTCATGAACTTGTCCCTTCCGCCGCAGAAACAAACCAAGCTTATGTTTGGCTCAGGCTGGTTGACCCGTTCCAGAAACGGTGGAACCTTAAATCAATCAAGTCTCATGGCGAATCGGGAGATGCAGACCAGGCTGCAATTGATCGTCAAATGCCCTTGCTACGCAGTACAATTCAGTTTTATAAACACTGTGATGTTTTCAATGCGGACGAGTTTGGCCACTTCTATCGCATGGCACCAGATCGCACGATAGCGAGTGAAAGGTTACCTGGTCGAAAATGCGAGAAGGTCCGCTTGACTTACCTGGCATGCTGTAACGCGGATGGATCGGAGCGCCTTCCACTGATGTGTATTGGAAAAGCAAAGAAGCCTCGGTGTTTTAAGAAACAGGAAGGACAGCAGCTGCGGTTTGACTATCACGCAAACAAAAAAGCGTGGATGACGAGCGCTTTATTTTTTGCATGGATTCTACGTTTTTCTTCATACATTTCTCGTTCCAGTCCATCCCGAAAAGTGCTACTTCTACTCGACAATTGTTCAGCTCATGGTACAGAGGAAACTCTGCCACTACTCGATAACGTTGAGGTTGTTTTTTTGCCGCCGAACACTACGTCTAAACTGCAACCGTTAGACGCAGGCATTATCGCTGCACTGAAGGTACGATATCGGAAGTGGCAGTACGAGAGAGCGCTGGATTATATGGATGCTAAGGTGGAGAATATATATAAGGTCGATCAGTTGACTTCTATGAAGGCGATGAGACGAATGTGGGACGACATTCTAGCCTCAGTTTTGAAGAATTGCTGGCATCACACGGGTTTAGTGATGGGAACTGAAGAGGTGCAAAGGGTTGAAGATAGTACAGTGGTAGAGGTATTGGCTGCAATGTCCGAACTCGTCGCACCTCGGACACAGATGGATATTGATTTTATAACAAATCCTGAGGATGAGAACAATGATTTAGAGGAAGCCGATGACACAACTCTTGTGTCGGGGGCAGTGGCGGCGATGACAGAAGGGGAAGTTGAAAGCGAGGAAAGTGATGCAGAGACTGCATCTTACTTGGAGGGGGTCGGATATGAATAGCGCTTGAGGTGTATTGTTGTAGTGCGCCACCTTCTTGAGAGCGCGGACTTTGCAGACCCGCTAGTCTTGGGCTCTCTGCGCACCTTGCAGCGTGATGTAAAACTCCAGCAGGCCAAGTCAGCACGGCAGACCCGCATATCTGAATTTTTTGAATAAAAATGAGGCGTTTACTGATGTTCCATGGATGCCCTATATATGGACATTTTCGACAAGTGCATATGTTCGCCAACTGCATACGAAAGCCGTCCACTTTTCATATGCAGTTAGCGAGGATTCACTAGTGGTGCTCAAACCTAGTTCTGAAAATTCTAGTTCTAATTCTGAATCGATTTTTCGCAAGCTCATTGGCCAGATTGATTCAGAAAAAATTCTAACTCGTCTACAAGCTGCAGAGCTCGTAGACTGGTCAGAACTTTCTGAAAGTCGATTGGGACGCAATTTCGCTTGTGTAAGTTTTTTTGATTAAGAACATTTCTGAGTGTCCCTCGCCTGATCCGGCTCGGCTGGCGAGGTATCCGGCTCCACGTCACACACGGTGACACCTGTCTTCGAGAACCCAAGTAGAGAAATGTGCACACACACCTCTTCTGGAGCTCCACAACAGCAGTTGCATGAGCACGCGACCGGGACGGGCGGTACTACTTGATCACGGGAGGCCGTCATGAAGCCATCCTCGGTAGAGTGCATGCGCAAGGAGCTGAGCAGCGGCGCGCTCGCGATCTTGCTTTTGCGGCCGTTGCAGTCTGCCCGCAAGAAGCGCCGTTTCGCCGAGGTGTATCGCGCCCAGGGCAAGGCGCGCTTCAGCAAAGCGCTTGAGCGCGCCGCTGATCAGAGCGCGCGCAGTGGAAGGAGGCTGGTCGCCAGCGCGCGGTATCTCGAGCGGCGCGTTTCTTCTCCGCGCGACACCCGCGGAGCTGACATGCTGACAACCGATCCAAGCACCGAGCCCGATACAGGACTACTTCTCTTGTATCGGATTCGGTGCTTGTTATGATTCCGATGTACAGAATTGTGTCTAATAAGTGCGCGCTTGGCACGCTACTGCTCTTTGCTGCTGCGGTTGTGTTTCGGTTTCAGTTCGCGCCACGATAGACCGAAACAGATACAGCAGTTGTTGAAGTAACAGTACGAGAGCGTCAACCGCGCGAAGGTTGTGCCAATCAGAGCGTGTTCTTGAATTACAGCTGCTTGATTCAGGCGACAAGTAAGAATCACTGTTGGGGATTAGTTTTATTTTCTGAAAAAGTTCTGAACTCCTCTGATTGGTCGAGAAAGCGTCGTTTCAGAATTAGAACTAGAATTTCAGAACTAGGTTTGAGCACCACTACTGTCCACTACTGTATTGTGCTAATTTCATACCTCAGGTTATCAACGTTGCGGCTTTACAGTATCTTATGGTTGATGTTGGCCCTACTCGAGCGTCAATTTGATATTTTGCTTTGCTTTTTGATTCGTCGATGTCGTATTGCAACGTTCATGCATAAAGCAGTATGCGATACCAAGTCGGCCACAAGTTGTACTTCCAGACCATGCAATATATGTAGACTGGATAGAGTGTTCACGTTGATTGCTATTTAGTCTGAAGACGTACTCCCTTTCCACAATAGTCAGAGTCCACAAGGGCTTATAACTTAGGATACCGAGGCGTCTCTAAATATATCTTTTCATTTCGATGGAGATGATATCTTGTCACAAATCACGATGTGTACTCACTGCGTCAATGCCAACACGTGTACAATTGTCCCGCACTATATTATGGAAAATTGCAGGGAATTACGGTACGTCTGGCTTTGTGACTGTACAGTGAACTTCGTTCAAAATCCAAGATTTTGGTTTCTATTGACATGAATCCTGAAATGAGATTGATTCAATTTCAACTGCACGCGCTGTACTACTATCCGCTCATATTTGTCTTTTTTCCCTCAGATAATTATATATATATTAAAACGCTCTATTTTTTGTGCCAGCGCACACATTCCTACATATCCATTTTCATTGATCACCGCGTGCTCCTGCCTTGCCAGATAGGACCCGATTCCCTGAACTGGCGAGAAGGATAAAACCCTCCAACACTGTCTCTCATAACTTAGCTTGTAGGGCATCTCCACCGCACTATGACGTCCTCCCCGGCACTACAAAAACGCAGTCCAGTTGGATATTTGGTGCTTTCACGTTCACACCTCGCTTCTGCATTCCACTCGTGCCTTCTCCTCATCACATACTGTACAAAATGGTGTCCTCTAATTCCTGTCTTCTCTTCACTGCTCCCACTCCCCGGCTTGTTGCCGCCGCCACTGATAGCATATTTGCCAAGTCATCCCCTCTTCCTACTTCACATCCCGCAATATTATTTTGCCCCTCGGCAGTGTGTACGAAACAGCTCACTACGTATTCATAAACTCGTTAATCACAAGATCTTTCATGTTCTAAGCCTGTAACCATATACCACTTCGAATACCCGTAAAGCTCCATTTCCCCAATCTTCTTAAACTCTCAACTCCTCTTCCCACAATCCACGAACAACGCACCATTCTACCCTCCACTTTTCCAACACACCTTTCTAATTAACTCATTCCCGAAACCTCTTCTCTACTATTCTCTATTCAGAACTCCTGTTTTTCATTGTCAGGCCCATATCTGCCCACCCTTGTTGCCCTTATTGTAAGGAGATACGCACGGGAAGTTAGCCTTCTTGACCCTCCGATTGCAATCACAAGCGCAGCCGCCCGCCCTCTAATACCAGAAAATAGTGCCCATCGCTTTGTTGCTTCTATTTTCGTCATTCCAAACTCGAATTCGCATCCTCCCGCAATGATGCACCTTCACGTGCAAGTCGCCTCTCTAATGCGTCATACAAGTAGTCCTTTTTACAATTGCACCGTGCGCAACGTCGCCAGTAATGATCACCTGACATGGAAACTGCCCAAAATTAATTCATTTTCTACATTATACCTCCTCTCGCAGTTGCGTTCCCCTGCACATGTCTTCACGAAAACGCTCGTCTCATCTTTATACTACGGTATGCTTACTCTTTATCCGTTTTCGCCTCACAAAAACCTATTCGCCCACTTCATCTCGATACTCCTCGACATCGTCATCCCCACGCGCCTCCCCACTCCCGTCCTTGCTTGCCTCCCCACCCTCTCGTTGCTCTCCTCCCTCTGGCTGCATCTCTCGATCCGCAGCGTCTACCTCCTGCAAACCAACGTCCATCACTTGCTCTCCCAGCGTCCCCTCCAGCCCTAATTCAATGCCTAAAGGATAAGCAGAGTCATCCCCTAGTCCATAAACAGCCGCGCCTGCCTCGCCTGCAATTCCAGTGTTCATAGCAGCCGAAATTTCAATCACTGCTGGAGCAGGCCCGCCGGCAAATTGCGGTGGAGGCAAAACAAGCGACGGTGTGTCTGGATCTAATCCCGTCCTCTGAACGCGTCGCCTTGTTTCCTTGACTCGCCGCACCAACCGCTCGTTCTCTATGTTAGAAGTGGCCTTTAGTAAAGACTGTGCATCAAAATGGAATAGCGTCTCCTCATGTTGTAAAAACTCGATTACAGGTTCCGGGCGGTGCTTAGATAGAGCGCGAAGTGCAGTGCCGGCGACCATCTTCGCTTCTTCTTCGGGGCGACGAACGAGGACGGAGCAACCATAAAGCAATATTTCTTGATGAATGGCATCGGCTGCTAGATTAGAAAAGGCAGTGAGGGCGGCTCTCGCTTGCCATAGATTGCGAGCGGGGAGCCATATCTGACAGAGACGTGCTGCGGTCTGTTCTCGTTCGCGGATGAGAAGCGGGACTAGGATCTTGGTACCAAACTTGTCGCCGATGAGGCGACAGGAGATGTAGTTTCCGGCAAAGACGGGCTCAAAGAGAGCGAAGACCTGTGTTGGAGAGATCTTTGCAAGTTGGAGCAAGTTCTCCGAGACGAAGATGATTGCGGCAAGCTGATCCTCCAGAAACGGTTGCTGGAGGAGGATTTGGGCGACCTGACGCTCTAGGAAAGGCAGGATGGATTGCTGCTCTGTTTCCCAAAGACGCTGCCATTGATGAACCTTGTGACGGATCTCTTGCACCGAGACACCGCGGACGATTTGCGGGGAGACCTTGTGATAGGTTACAGTCCAGTTGACAAGTTCCGGGTTGGCGCATTGTTGGAGGAGATGTTGGAGACGGGCGACGATGCGATGCGGGGTGAAATAGTGTTCGTCGGGAAGCATGGTGAGAATGTGCGGAGTTGGATGCGTGGGAATGTCTCGAGGAAGAATATGGGCATGATGCGCGGGGAAGGGGGCGTGGAGTGGAATGGTGGAGCGGGGAATGTGGGGTACGGCGGAGAAATCTGTTTATGTAGGGAAGGGTGAGAGGGGGGGAGGTAGAAGGGGGGGAAAGTAAAATATGGCGAAAGTTGGTGCGGAAGGCGGT